TTTTTCTGGCATGTACGTTGTCATTACAAAAGTTTAAGGAGCTGGACATTAGCCTGAGTTGTATTAAATTTTGAGCCCACTCCCATAACTGCTGTACTAGCTCAGCTGTGTGTGTGTGTGGGGGGGGGGACCTTAGTTCCTCTCTATGATCTGCTGATTCTGATGTTTGCTTTCTTTAGATCACAGTTACAGATGAAGAAATTAGTAATCCATCATGTCTCCATCTGGTTAGAACTCCCCAGATGAGAAAATACACATTGATTCTAATGTATGCCTGGTAAGTCTCCATTGTGTTGGGTTTTGAAATCACATTTTTTCACTAATTAGATTCTTTCACATCTGAAATTCAAGTCAGCTGCTTACAGTCCTTTGTGTTTGTCTCAATGTCTTCATCTAGGTTCACAAGTGCCCTGGTTTACCAAGGACTTGTTATGCGCCTAGGGATTATAGAAGGAAACCTCTACCTAGACTTCTTCATCTCAGGAGCTGTGGAATTACCAGCAGCTCTCTTGATTTTACTGACTATTGATCGAATTGGTCGACGCCTTCCATTTGCTATAAGCAACATAGTGGCAGGAGTGGCATGCTTAATTACTGCAGTCTTACCAGCAGGTAACTCTTTCGTTAGCTTCCTCAAATCAGCGATTTATGCATCGATTCATAGACTTAGGGCCCGAAGGGACTGTCATGATCATATAGTCTGACCTATTGCACATTACAGGCCACAGAACCTCATCTGCCCACTCCTGTCATAGATCTCTAACCTCTGGCCGAGTAACTGAAGTCTTCAAATCATGATTTAAAGATTTCAAGTTACAGAGAATCTGCCACTTACTCTGTGACGTTCCCAGAGCAGAGAGGGGAAGGCCCCACAGAGCCTTTGAAGCAGTGGGCGAAGGTAAAAGGTGCGTTGGGATGCATTTAGCAAATGATAATGCAAACTACAGAACAAAAATATAAAGGGGGCAAAATACGCTCACTCCTTGTGGGGAAGGTATCTATCATACTGGTATGGAACTAGGAAAGAGGGAATTTGGGGAAACTGTCTTCCTATTGCCCTGTAAATCAGCATTGAGGGAAGAAACAAACCTATTTAAAGGATATATTTTCTGCAGCTCAGTCTTAGCAGGTCTTGACTCATATTCTCAGCTTTAGAATAAGAAACAGACAATTCCATTGGCCTGGGTTTGTCAGAGGGCAGTGTACTCTGTCCATTGCTTGTTTCATCCAACTTATCTCTGGCATGGTGCAGGGCCAGGAGCAGGTGGTACAGAGTTGTCTATCCTGGCTTGACACCATCTCGAGTTTCCCCTACACAGGGGGAAGCACCAGCAGGTAGTTCAAAGGGGACAGAGGTTCTGGCACCCCTTTTAGTAATTCTTGTCCTACTTTAAAGATTATCAGGGTCATTGTGATGTGTTATTCAGGCTCTTAAGCACTGTTGTCTCTCCAGTATGTGATTACAGCAAATTGTGTATCAAAGAAAGCATCTGTCTCTGTGTCAGCCTTTAAAGGTGCTACGCATTAAAAGGCAGATGCAGAACACAGAGCCTTACCCTGACTGTGACATCCCCAGTCTTTCCTTCAGAATAGGCTAGATTTGAGCTATAAAAATGGCTGCCGCTTTTTTTGGCACAGAGCTTTGCCGGGAAAAAGCACCAGTCTAGACGCGGATCTTTCGGAAAATAAAGCCTTTTCCGAAAGATCCCTTATCCCTTATTTTAAGAGGGATAAGGACTCTTTCAGAAAAGGCTTTATTTTCCATAAGATCCGCGTCTAGACTGGCACTTTTTTCCGGCAAAGCTCCAAGCCGAAAAAAAGCGGCAGCCATTTTTATGCTAATGAAGCGGGGGAGATTTAAATCCCCGCTTCATTAGCAATTGCGATATGTCTAATTTGCATCCCTTTTACGAAAAAGGGATGCAATCTAGAAGTAGCCCACATGTTTCAACAGCTTAGTTTTTTCAATAGGGTCTGAGAATCAGGAGATCTGAGTTTTGTTCCTGGCTCTGTCACTGGCATGTCTTATGACCTTGGGCCAGTCACTTTACCTTATTTGTAAAGCAGTTTGAAATGATACTCTCCTTTGCAGAGGAGTATGGGATAAATGATGGTTGATACTATGTATCAGGTATTTTTATCATTGCCGAAAAGTGAGTAGTTTAATGTGCCAGGATAATTTACAGGGCAATCATGCAGCCAGACATCTCAAGTAACATGATCGCAGTAATTTACAATCCTTCCGTTAAAACAATTGAACCGTCTTTTAGTTTAATAGGAAAAATATTTTCTTTAAATTTGTCCTATGAAAACAACTGTCTCAGTTATCATCCTCCCCTTTAAATGGCTTCTGTGCATGACTTAAATCCAGGATGAAATTTTGTCCCTTTCCATCCTCAGAAACTTACCTTTCTGAGTGTCCTCTGATTTCTCAGAGTTTGCTGCTGGCAGAAAGTCACTCTCCTCTCAAAAACACAAGTAAACAAACCCACACGCACACATATATATTTTGGGGATTAAATAAATTTTTCCACCTGCAAAAATGTTTTTGCAAAAATCCAAGACAAAAAGGAAAAAGATGCATTTCTCTTTTTCATGAAATACTGATATTAGTCTATAATAAAAAATTCTCTATGCCATTAATCAGGGATGAAATCTACAGGGATCTCTAAACATTTGATGCGGTTTTCTAGAAATTACTCTGAAGTCTCATAAAATTTTGTATGCCTTCTAGAGTTTGTTGAGCCATCACATAGAATTCCACAGTAGGCATTTAATTTTCTATTATAAAATTTGTAGGGTGGTGAAAAAACTTATGGAAAATTACCATTTTTAAATGAAATTCTAGAGGATTTCTCTATAATGGCCAGCGACATTTTTGTTCAGCTCTATTAGGGAGTCACTCTGACTCAGCACTGATTACAATTTGATATAGAAAAATGTTGCAGGAGATGGAAGTGATTGCATCACACCTGGGTAGTGACCAGCAGCCTGCTCAAAGCAAGGGGTCGCACAAGCTGGGTATGATCATGGGAGTCTGGCAACAACGTTTACCATTCATTGTCCTGCACGTGGCAATTGTTCAATACTTGTTCGCTGACTCAGTGGGTTAGAATTGGTTTCTGATTCTTCAAACTGGCCCGGGTGACACAATAAAGAACGAGTAGCTGGAACTTTGAACACCCATAGATGGCAGCACAGACTGATATCTGACAGCAATGCCCTTTTGGTTCTGCTCTTCCTTGAACCTGATCTAGGGTCCCTCCGATATAACTATTCCTGATGGGGCTTTAAGATTAGTTCAGAGAAAAGTATCAGACCAGGAAAACAGGAACTAGCAGACTGGATGAGACCCAATATCCATCTGGTCCATTATCCTGTCTTTGTCTGTGACCACCACCAGCTGTCCTAGGGGGGGAAGTGTCCAAACTCCATGGCAGGCAGATGGAGATAATTTGCCTCTACCTCATTCAGCTCCCAGTTAGAAACAGCTTAAACCCACTATCCCATTCAAATCTGTTGTTAGCATTAATTCCAGACCATCTTATGAGCCTGTCCAATCTTTGTCAAACTCAGCTTCACTGACTTCCTCTTGCAGTGTATTCCCCAGTTTCATGATGTGTTGTAGGACAAGTATTTCCCACCATCAGCTTTGAATTACAGACAAAATAGACTGAAGTTGTTCCCTAAGTTCTTGCGTTCTGAGTACGACCATCAAACTGGGCCCCGCAGGCGAGGTAGGCAGGATTTCCCTTGAAAATCCTGCTGGGGCTGGGGCTGTGGCAAGATTGAGGGCGCCATTGCTGGTGGGGAGGCAATTTAGGCAGCTTTGATCATACCCAAACTATAGAAATGTTGGTACCTCCAGGCATTGACAGAGGCTGAGTGGTGGCCTTGTGAAAGTCAGTGGTGCGAATCTAGCCCCAATCCCTTTGCGAATCTAGCCCCAATGTTTGCTTCTGCTCACTTACACTGACATGAATCAGTAGTAATGCTGCCGCCCTCACGTGAAACCCATGGAAGGGAGAGTGGAGTGTGACCCAGGATTTCCAGCTGCCATGGTAAAATACATTTCACCAACCTTTCTGTTTGAATTTGCCTTGTGAACAGATATCCTGTGGTTGAAAACCTCAGTAGCCACCCTTGGAAGACTGGGAATCACGATGGCTTTTGAAATTGTGTATCTTGTGAACAGTGAATTGTATCCTACAACATTAAGGTAACTGCGGTTGTTTCATGCACAGCTAAAATCCACATTAAACTTAATGAACTTGCTTTCAGTAGCATTTGCATAGTAAATGGCTTTGTAGAGTAACCATGCCAGTGTTCAGTACCTCTATGAAAGACATTCTTCTTGTGCAGTGTAATTCTTCTTGTGCTCTGCCTCACATAGGGATGTGTGACAGGTGACTTCATAATGTAAGACATTCTATTTCATTTGCAGATGCAGTATTATAGTCTCCCATGGGAAACAAATTACAAAGGAGCCAACTTAATCCAAGATCTGTAAAGAAAACACATTTCTCACATTTTCTATTCAACACTCCAAAACCTGTATAGCAATGTCAGCTAACTCTGTCTAAATTGATACCTGTTAATGAAATAAGCTAATTGTCATAAGATTTACCCCTAGAGTGCCCCCTTTGAGATCCCAGGCAGAGGTTCCTCCTTTTATTTGTAGTATCTCCCTTCAGCTACAGAGGTTGTTACGGAGTCAGTCTCAAGAGATGCTGTGTTGTTTCAGCTACAAGTAGCTGGAGATAGTTCAGTACCCTCTCAACAGGAGTCCAAACAAAAAATATAACAGTCCTGCAACCTCAGCGCAGTCTGGGTCCACCTGGCTTGCTTTGCAAAGCAAATAGATCTGTATATTTTGAGTTAAGGTTCAATTTATCTAACCCCTTTGCAGTCCAAGGGGCCCTGGCTTAGCATCCTGGGCTGAGAGAAGGGAAAATAATTTTGAGGTTCTTCTATTTAGCTGGAGGGTCTAGGAAACAGAGGATCTTCTGTAGCCTTTATAGTCAACATCCCTTATTTTACATATTTAAGGCATTGGTACTCAAGCACTGGGTTTGGCTTTACACTCTTAAGGAACTCCCCTTTTATAAGTGCAGCATGCTTCAGGTAGGATTTGACTCTGCTCAGAGGATCTTGTTAATCCCTTCTTGGCTGGGATGGGCACTTGCCCCACTGCCCTAAGCAAATAAACTTTGAGTGCCCCTAAAGATAAAATGTAGTAAATTTACCTGATAAGAAAATAAACCTGTTAACTTAACCTAATATCTGTGCATCACACCAATTACATATAAAGGATTCCTACTGTTTGGACACTTGATTCACTAAGTAACTAGATAATCTTGCAATTGTGACCCTTAGTCTTCTGTTCCTCTTTCTCTTTTCTTTCTGTCTTGTTTCTGACTCTCACTTGTGTCATGTTGAAATTACATTGCAAGGTCTTTGGTAGATTGCATCAGACTTTCCTGCTTTTCAAGATAAAATTAGAAAGCAAACAGCTATGGAAAAAGAAGGTGCAATATATCTGGATTTTAGTAAAACGTTTGACACAGTGTTTGACAGGCTCTTACAACATAACTTGGCTTGGGTGTGATCACTTTAGAGATGGGAAATAGAACTTAACCTGGAACAGCTATGTGTTCAAATCACATCGGGGTCAGGCAGGTGAAAAGTTTGGACGGTGGGCGAGGAGGCCCGGTTACGCGAAGGGAGACGCACAAAATTTCATTTATACAAGAAGACTGTGACAAAGCTGATTTAGAATCCCAGTCCACCAAGTGTGTGCCCATATTGCATATGGAGGTGTGACTGCAGCCATGTGTGGATATACCTGAGCTAGCTTTCATGTAGTAGCTGTGGCAGTGTAGGCTGCAGCACGAGCTAGAAATCCCACCAGGGAACCTGGGTATGTATGTGGCAGCTACTCACACTAAAGTCCATGCTGTAGATAGCGCAAAGAGATCATTTCAATAGTACTTTAGCTCAGAGATTGGGTGGTTTAAAGGCATGGCTGCAGGAAGGCTTGGTGTGTAGTGATTTAGGGTTAGTGTTCCACACAGGAAATCTCAGCAATTTCATTGGGGAATAATTAGCAATCTGAGGTAACAGTGGTAGAATCTGGCCCTTCAAGCTTCTGGAATTCTTTTAAAATTTCCCACCATTTTTATTCCCCCCTGCATTATGTTCAATATATGATTTTTCAGTAAGCCCCCTTTTTTCATGAGTTCACTGATTAGACTCATTGCATTGGCTTGCTTATGCAAGTGTGTGTTGCTAAACCCTGGTGATGAGATACCTTTGAGTCTAACACATGCATCTCCTAGGTTACATTCCTTATCTTAGCCCTTCTAAAATGAATGATAATATCTTTCTTTTGCAGAAACTTCGGTGTGTCGCTGTGTTCGAGTTTGTGTGATCTAGGGGGTATCATAGCCCCTTTTCTTCTTTTCCGGTTAGCGGCCATCTGGATGGAGCTACCTCTAATTATCTTTAGTAAGAAATCATTTCAAATGCAACCTTCCATAGGGGACGTATGGGTCTGCTCAGTGCATAAGAAGCATACGTACAGTACTGCAGGCTGGGAAAGTGCTGCTTTATTCAGCTCCATAACAAACACAGTGAGGAAAACACCCACTAAATAAACAGGAAATAATGGAGGGGTGAAAGCCTGGCTCCCATGTATAATACTGTGACGAATCCAGTTAATCCCATGATGACCACTTCATTATAACTTTGTTTTAACCTGCTCCCTAAAGCAGATGCTTTTTTGGGGGAGAGTTTTATTACATGACCTATTTTCCCTCAAATCTATCATCTCCACCCTCACTGGCCAGCAGATATGACCTTTGAGCAAAGGGGGCTCTGCTGCATCCTTTCAATTGTGGTGACATCAGCCTGGGCACTCCCATATGCATGGAGCCCCAGGATTCATTCTGGCTGAATCCCATTGCAGTTCTGTCCCTTCAGGTCTAAGCCCTGACTTCCAAGGAGAGCATGCCTCAGAAGCCATTAAAACTGTGTGTACTTATTGAAGTAGAGCCCTTATAACAATGGGGCATTACTAACATTTTCTGGATAGTTTTCATCACATAAAATAAACAAAAGACCCTGTTTTCTGCTGTTGTAAATTAGTATAGCTCTATTGATATCAACAGAGCAGGTCTGGGCAAAAATGTTTTCTAAGTAATCTTCCATGTAAGGTCTGCGTTGATAGGCAGGTTGCAGGCAGTGGTGCTGGAACTAGGGGTGCTAGGGGTACTACTGCACTCCTAGGCTTGAAGTAGTAACAAACCCCAGGATTGGGGGAAGATAGGAATTGCCATAATGGTCAGATAGTCCAGTAGCCTGTTACCATTGGGAGTCAGTACCAGGTGCTTCAAAGTTAGATGCATGAAACTCTTCAGCTGGATAATCTGTTCACATATAGATTTTTACTGCTGACTTTCAGGTTGGTTTATACCCTGGTGCATAAGGATTTATAACTCTTCAAAAATTAATGTTTCATTTGTTAGCGTATGCTGTTCTAACTCTGGACAATCCTTGCTATTAATACAAATATCTAATCTCTGTTTTATTTCTGATGAGCTCTTGGCCTCAGTGATATTTTGCGGCAATGAGTTCCACAGGCTAATTGTATGAGCAAGGTATTTCATTTTAGTAGGAAATCCTGAATCTAAAGAGTAAATAATGTTTTTCTGAAGAGCAACATGAGGAGGAAAGAGTAGAAGGGGCATGACATGGAAAAAGGAAGAGAGGCAGATAACAAGAGTATGAAATAGAAAGTACAAAAGAGAGAAGAAAATTAATTTATTTTGCAAATTAATATTACTACAACCAGAGATACGTTCAGATGTCCCAATTCACACCATAGTATTGAGAATTTCTGCTGCACTCTGAAGCCCTGATCCTCAACTACATTATGTAACTGGGTGCAAAATTATCTCTATTTTCATAAGGGTAAGAAGTCCAATAATTTCCTATGCCCCACTGTGCTAAGTGCTGTACAAACACAGAACAAAAACCAGCCTCTGCCCCAAAGCCTTCCCAGTCAGCCTGGTAACATTTCACACCTACTTCCCAAAAATATCAACATAAGAACATAAGAACGGCCGTACTGGGTCAGACCAAAGGTCCTTCTAGCCCAGTATCCTGTCTGCCAACAGTGGCCAGCACCAGGGGCCCCAGAGAGGGGGGACTGAAGACAATGATCAAGCGATTTGTCTCCTACCATCTCTCTCCAACCTCTGAAAAACAGAGGCCAAGGACACCATTTTATCCCCTGGCTAATAGCCTTTTATGGACCTAACCTCCATGAAATTATCTAGCTTCTCTTTAAACTCTATTATAGTCCTAGCCTTCACAGCCTCCTCTGGCAAGGAGTTCCACAGGTTGACTACACGCTGTGTGAAGAAGAACTTTCTTTTATTAGTTTTAATGACCAAAATGCGAGGCAAGGCAGGGGAGAAACAGGCAGATGTTACTTAGGGTATGTCTACACTACCACCCTAGTTCAAACTAGGGTGGTAATGTAGGCAACCGGAGTTGCAAATGAAGCCCGGGATTTGAATTTCCCGGGCTTCATTTGCAACTCCAGTTGCCTACATTACCACCCTAGTTCGAACTAGGGTGGTAGTGTAGACATACCCTTAGTGTTTTGGGAGCAACTTCAGGTATTTCAGGATGCTGTGAAGGCCAATGTTGTAATAGATTCAAAAAAGAACTAGATAAATTCATGGAGGATAGGTCCATCAATGGCTATTAACCAGGATGGGCAGGGATGGTGTCCATAGATTCTGTTTGCCAGAAGCTATGAATGAGTGACATGGTAGGGATCATTTGACGATTGCCTGTTCTGTTCATTCACTCTGGAACACTTGGCACTGGCTACTGTCAGAAGATAGGATACTGAACTAAATGGACCTTTGTTCTGACCCAGTAGCGCCGTTCTTATGGTCTATTCTTTTCTTATTCTGTATCACAAAACTGTCCTAAGAATGAGAAAAATGACAAGCCAATTTTGGTTCTTTTTTTCCTCCTTCAATGCTCACCATAGGTGTACTTGCAGTTGTTTGTGGGATCTTAGTACTATTTTTACCTGAGACAAAGGGAATTTCCTTACCAGAGACAGTGGAGGATGTGGAACAGCTTTCCAGGTACTCTCTCTTTCCTTCACTATTACACTGATGTATTTTTTGAGCAATCATAATTTTCCCCTTCAGTCATAATAATCAGAAGTCAAATAATCCTTTAGTAATTTGTTCTTGTGGCATCAGAGTAAGTATCTCAATCAAGTAGAGAAATATGCCCATGAGGCAATTTGATTTAATAGCAATGTGGGTTTTGAAATTCTACGATGGCAGGTTGATTTAAAAAATAAACGCAAATGGAAATGATTTTTGTATAGAAAACTGTCATCTTTATCTTAAATAGACAAAGCCATTTTGCAGACATCTTGAAGTAAATTGTAACAGTGAGAGAGAAAAATCTCTTACACATTTACATATCCATTGGACATAGCCCCTAGTCAGATAAAGCCAGTGGCTTAGCCAGGGTGGAATATTTGGGTGGGCCCCAACTATGGGTGGTGGAAAATTACCTGCAGAGGGGGCCACTGATAAGGCAGGATGGATAGGGGCCCACCTCCCCCTAGTTCCTGCAGCTGGCCTAGGAGGGGGGCGATGGATGGGCCCTCTGGCTGGAGGCTCCCCAGGGCTCCAGACATGCACCCAACTCTGGAAGGAGTTGCTGCTCTCCAGTGTGCATGGCTCCCAGCTCCCTTTGAGGTTCGACAGGTCCCCACCATGTCTGGCTCCCCCAAGAGATGGACCTACCTTTTCTGAAGATCTCCTCCATTGCCACCAGCCACTGGGTTAATCCAGGCCGTTGGAAAAATGGCTGTTTCTGCACCCCTGCCTGCTCTGCCCACACGGCACTCCTGCTGGGGAGTGGGGTCAAAGCATAAGAGCTTATCCCACTCTGCCCAGCTAGACTGAGTAGGAGTATCAGGTGAGCAGAGCAGAGCAGAGCAGAGCAAGCACCAGTGCTCCAGCCCCAAACCTCTCCATGAGCAAACCTCTCTAAGTAGGTGGGTGGAGTGAGGCAAGCACTGGGGCCAGAGCAGAACTGGGGATGGGTGGTGGGCCTGGTTTCTAAGGGAGTGGGCTCTGTCTCACCCAGACCCACCCGTGGCTACGCTCCTGGACAAAACCCCAATAAACTCATGCAGAATTTTCTCTGAGTAAGGAGTGTGGGATAGAACTAAAGTGTGAGTTTTGAATGATGGCTTTGAAGCTTATTTCAGCACATTTTTGACTACTCCAGTAAATGAATAAAAGGGGCAGGGAATTATACATTTGTACTAACAAAACTAACTCTTCTCTTTTTTCTCTCTGTTACTTCAGTCTCCAAAGTAAAAGTGGCAGGAAAAAAAAGCATCAAGATATCACCTCCTATATATGATCTTTCACTAAAAGCACCAAGCCAAATGTGTCCGTTCTCACACGAGGAACTAGGTTTCCACCAGATAATTGCTTTAAAGTCTTCAGGAGAAGATGGATTGAGCTGTGTTATAAGAGATGCCTTTAAGTACTTCTTTTAAGAATGAAGACATTCAAAAGAAGCATTGTATTTTTATACAGCTACAGAATAAAAGCATATTTTCTGAGTTCATTGTTTCCAGGAAGGGAATGCTGTATGATTCTTGTTAGAGAACACCCAGTTAAATCAGCTGCTTTACCTGGCCCCATAAGATCCTACTTATTTGTATATGTTTCGGTCATTTGTTCATCCCTGTTACAAAAATTGGGTGAGATTGTGGTTTAAAACTGAGATGGTTTGGAGAGAGGGGAAGCAGAATTTCAGTAGCTTTATGTCCCACCAAAGGATAAAGCCTCTGAAGAATCAGAAAAGCAAAAGAAGAATTGCTTAGGGATCCAGGGACCTGATGACATTGAGGATGGAGAGAGTGTGAGCCTCATTTCTAATGTGTAGATGTCAAAAGGATATTCTGAATATTTGGGGCAGATCCATATTACAAAGTTGGTGAAGGAACTACTGGATAGTTACTAAATATAGTGAGTATCACATTGTAATTGAACAAATAATGCTCCAAAATGACCACCTCAAAAGCTTGCCATGGAACAAATATTGGTAAGATGGAGTTTCAATAAAGTAGTGGGGAATAACCAATATCACTGGGACTCAGTTTGCTTGTATACAGTACATCAACGCTTTCTATTTCCACCCAACTGCCATGTCTGATTAAAGAAAATAGGAACCATGCAAGCAACAAAATGCATGCATGCTTAGAACAGACAACAGAAGGAGGGACCATGAGAAGCAGAGGACCAACAGAACTACTTTTCAATAAGAATTTCCCTGGACACATAGTCAAATGACTTTAAGTTATTTGACAGAACTCTCTACAAACAAAAAGGAATGTCACCGAGGCTACGTCTACACTGCCGGGGGGTGTTCGGAAAAAGATATGCAAATTGCAATCCACAATTTGTCTATCTTTTTCTGCTTGTTTTTTTGAAAGACGCTTTTCCAACATTGGCTCATCTACATGGGGCCAAAGGCCAGAAAAACCTCTCTTTCAGAACATTTTATGAGGAATAAGGGATGGTGAAAGAATGCCCCTGCTTTTTTGGAAACTGTTCAGAAAAAGCAGACACGTTCCCTGGACATAGTCCAGTCTAGACATAGCCCAAACGTGTTTCTCTGTTATGATATATTGCTAGATGGTTTGTAATGCCAAATGAGAACACATTAGCGTATTTTGATGCTGTCCTCTGAGAGACAATTTATTCTTATGCTACTAAAATTACCAGGCTTATCTGATCAAACAGACATTCTCCTAAACTGATAGTGGGCTTGTATTTAATTTTTTCTCAGTTCCTAGAGTACTGTGATGGGGAAGAAGCTCCCCGCACTGACATAGTTGCCCCGGCTGAGGCGCCGGGTGGCGCGGCCAGGCGGAACCCCGGGAAAAGTGCTCGGTGGGAACCGAGCCCGGGGGACAAGGAGGCAGACGGGCAGGTGCGCGCTACGGTGGGCGCGCCGTACGCGGTGGGCAGTAGGACCCGGGAGGAGACGGATGGGGGAGGCAGGGAGGAGCGGCACGTCCCGGGCGTGCTGGGTCAAAAGGGGGAAGGGGCCGGAGGGGAAGGGGGCTGCCAGCATTACCTCTGCTCCCGCAGGCAACCCGGAGCATGCAGCCGGAGGACCGGAGGAGGAGCGCCGGACTCCCGCAGCCCAGGCCCAGCGCGAGACCTCCCAACCCGGGGCCCCTAGGACGGGGACAGGCGGCGGACGGCTCCGACCCCCCCCACCCGGGGAGGACAGACGGCCGAGCCCGCTGGAGAGCCAACCCCCGTTGCCGGCTCGGGAGTGGGGCCAAAGGTGGGGAGCTGCTTCCCGCCACCAGCCTGAGGATAAGCCCGGGAGCAGCGGTAGCCGCCCCAGGGAGAGAAACCAAAGGGACAGAGACCAAAGGACAGAGACTTGGGGGAAGAGACTGAAGGGGAGAGGCGCGGGCGAGTGGAGAAACGGGGGACCCCGGAGCTTAGGCCGCTCGTCCTCGCCACAAGTACCATGGTACAAGAGTTCTCTCAGTTCTGCAGTAGTGCTTGTAGCTTGCAAAGGCAGTTGTGGGTCATTTTAAATTATATTGGTTTTAAGCAGGGTTACTTGAAGTTTTCAGTGAAGGGAGGAAGTTTGTGTTGTATTGGTCAACTGCTGTTATTGCACTTTGTTGTTGCTTGGTATGTGATGGAGAACTTAAGGCATGGGAACTTATTTTTTCAGGTCTATCTAACTGTACTTTGTTCAGAGTAGCATTCTGTGGTACTCAAAATAAAATGCAGACAATGTATGTTAGTATTTAAAATAACTGAATGCTTGAATAATCCTTCCTGGGGATTTAAGGTCTTTTAAAGCTTATCATTTTTTGCTGTGGATCAGAGATACAAGGTGGATGAGGTAATAGTTTTTAATGGACCATCTTCCTTTGGGGAGAGAGACACACTTTTGCACGTACACAGAACTTTTCTTTGGGTTGGGGAAACTAAAGTATTGCTGCTAAATATGATGTGGACACCTTCTAACTCTTTCATATGATACTATTTTAATAGTAACTTCGGTTCTATTTTCAGATTAAGTACATATCTGATACAGGGAAAAGAAACCTGTGCTAATATTCACTGATAAAGAGATGTAAAATCTCAGTCCCTGCGAAAGTTCCTCCATATTAAGTGTCGTACATTATACAGTCCTGTCACAAAACCCAGTGCAGCAAACGAGTATCTCCCATCCAGTCCAATGAGTGGGAGACCTGTGATTATCCCCAGAACTAGGACATCTGTGTTCATCCCAATGGAAGCAGAGGGGTGGACAGAAACCAGAACGATAAAAGACCGGCCCCCTGGTTCAGTTGGGACAGAGCTGCCACAGAGAAGCAAGACGCCTCTCCCCTAGTGTTGGAGCTTGGAGCTGACAGAAGCTTTCATCATGCCACACACCCGAAAAGACTGCCAGAGCTGCCAAATCCCAGGGATCCTGATGAGCTGGTGGAACTTCCATTTGCTGTTTATCCAAGCAAGACTGAGGAGAACCCCAGAACACAGGTAACCCAGGACTGGGAGAGTAGGAAAGAACCCAGGGAAGCTGAATAGGATTTGGCTGTGGAACTAATTGCAAACCGGCCAGCGTGTTGTAGGTGGATCTCCACTGACTCTTCCACCACGGATAGGACCCTGGGTCAGTGGAATGGGAGGGCCTTCATCCCCCTACTTGGCTACCCCATCCCCGGAGGGCGGCTGTCTGCTTTGGTTAGGCCTGTATTGGTCTGACACCTGCTGGAGTTAGGGTGCCCAATGAGTCTGACTATGGCTCCCACCTTGAAATCTCATTCCTGCCCAAACTGCTCTGTTGTTCTCTGTGAGCTCAGACCAGAGCTGTTAACTGTTGGCTGCCCTGCCCTGATTGAAGGCTCTGGGCAGATAGATTATTGTTTATTTGCTCAAACATGTTCACAACGTTTTCAGCAGAAGGAATAGGTGACGACATGGTAGACCCAACCATATGTTCTCAGAACTGAGCACTGGGTAAGGAGAGATCCAAAAACACATTTAGGCCCTGATTGGGAGAGGTCTTGGATGCCCTCAGTGCTCACTGCAGTCAGCGGAAAGCATGGTGCTCAAATACCCTCAGAACTAAAGTTAAGATGTGAGGTTTCATTTATCATGGAGTTTCTTGTGTATCATCTTTTAGTGCCTTTATATCAAATGTCATCTGTTTAAAAGTCAAAGGGTGAATTTTAAAACTGCAAACACAGCATAGTCAACATGGGGGCTAGAAATCAAAGAAAATATTCTAACTGCCTCTTACACTATCACTAGGAATAAAGATTTTGTGATCAGAATTTAGTAGACTAGGCTGCTGAACAGGGAACATAGTAGAAATCAGATCATTCTTCCATACTTGTGGGCTGTGTCTACATTAGCACCCCTTTCCGGAAAAGGGATGCTAATGAGACATATCGCAATTGCAAATTCCGTGGGAGATTTAAATTTCCCCCACGGCATTTGCATTTACATGGCTGTGGCTTTTTTCCGGCTTGGGGTTATGCCGGAGAAAAGCGCCAGTGTAGACGCGATTTTCCGGAAAATAAGCCCTTTTCCGGAAGATCCCTTATTCCTACTTATTTTCCGGAAAATCGCGTCTACACTGGCGCTTTTCTCCGGCATAACCCCAAGCCGGAAAAAAGCCACAGCCATGTAAATGCAAATGCCGTGGGGGAAATTTAAATCTCCCACGGAATTTGCAATTGCGATATGTCTCATTAGCATCCCTTTTCCGGAAAGGGGTGCTAATGTAGACACAGCCCACAAGTATGGAAGAATGATCTGATTTCTACTATGTTCCCTGTTCAGCAGCCTAGCTCTGTGAGAGGTAAACATGAGCAAACATTTGTTTCTGTTAAAGTAAGCAGATTTGACTAAAAAGAAGCCCACAAGAAGCAGATTTTCCAGATCAAAATCACTTTACAGTCTTGAAGAAAAGGGGCCTCCTATAAAACTCATAGATGAAGAGTGTGATAATGGCAGTCTTATGTAATAGCTGACAGAGAGGAGTGGCTATTTCAAGCCCACTGCAATCATTATGAAGCTCAGCCTGGAAATTATTCCCAGGGATATGACTGGAAGGTGAAGTACCAGGTATATTGATAGTATGTTGCTGAGAATATTCTGCTCCACAAATTTAAAATTCTGCACACAGCACTTCAAAATTCTGCAAAATTCTGCAAATCATATTTATCAAATAAAAGTAGCTGCTCCTGCATAGCATTGGGGAACACAGACCACTGGCTGCACAGAGGAGGGAGGTGGACTCAGTAGGTGAGGTTGCACCCCACCCTGACATAGCACAAGGATTGAGCCTACCCCAGAAACACTCCAGGACCCTGCCCCTCTGTGGCAGGTGTACCACATGTGGGCAGGTAAGCTCAGCCCAGCAGGATCCAAGTGTGCAGAGGCTTAGTGTGAGGGGATCCAAGAGCAGGCTCAGAGAGTTCTGTGTGGGGCAATCTGGGAGCAGGTGGCTCAGTGGGGAATCTGGGTGTAGAGGGGGTCTGGATGCACAAGGGGTTTGGTGTTGGGTTCTGGCTGCAACGGTAATAGGGAATCCAAGAGAAGGTGGTTGGAGCTCAGGAGGGTGGGAGTTGGGTGTAGGAGGAGAGAGCTCAGAGCGGGGGGCAGGATGTGGGGTTTCAGCAGGGGGGCAGATGCTGGGGGAGTGGGACTCAATAGGGTGAGGGTCCAGGTGCAGCTAGTGGAGGCTTGGTGGGGTGAGAATCTGAGTGTAGATGGCTCCTTGGGGTGTGACTCATTGGGGGATCCTGGTGCAAGGGGAATGGATCTCATTGGGGGGACTGAGAGTTCTGGGTGGGGGGTGATGCTTGGTAGGAGGTCTGAATGCATGAGTACTGGGTAGTACCCTGTTCAATGATCTCCCCTGCCCCCTCCCCTCTTCC